TCTGTCCTTGTCGCTTCTTCTGAATAATGGATGAACTTGGGCTTTGTTTAATTCAGCTCATTCTGCAAACTTCATTTGTGTTTGGTTTAAGAAAATCAAGTAATCAGCAGTACATACTACACATTCCACTCTGTCTTGCAAATAGATGCTGTGCAGATTCAGTAGGTCTGATTGCACTTGTAAAATAGGTCATAGTGTCTTGCCTTTTCCCTATTTTGTTTAAACCAAGCAAAGGCAGACTAGAGCTTCTTTTGAAAAACAAAGCATAATCTCGAGATGTAAGTCTTGTAGAGGCCAGTTTGTTTAGCTGCAGATATATTAAAAAAACCCCTAAAATCCATCTCACAGGGAAAATTTTGGTCTTTCTACAGCTTGTGTCATCTTGAAAAAACCTGTAGAGACCTCTGGTGGGAAGAAATGAAGGCAGAATTTTCTGTGTTAGAAAGTGAAGATGTAGAAGTGGACAGACGGTGTCCTTTTACTTTCCCTGTTTTAATGATTCCTCTTTTGAAATTTCCCAGCCTTGCTAAGACTGCTGGGTGGTTTCAATGATGGAAGAACAAACTTTGCCTTATTTTAGGGGCTTGATGAATGTTCCACAGTGAGTTGGGCTGGGAGACTGCTGTTTTGGTTCAGGTAGTCTGACATGGTAATGCTGTGAGATGGTTGAGAAGTCTGTGCACAGACCTTACCCAGGAGTCCTTAGCTTCTACTGTGGAAGTTAGGGTGAGGTGGGGAAGAAAACCCCCCACCCTTCCTGAAATGTAAAACTTCATCTCGTAACTTCATCTTACAGTTGTCTCAGAGGGGTTTTATCTGCACTGCATTTGATTTTCTCGTTATTGTCTCTGGCTCTTGCAGTCAGTGCTGTACCTTCACTCTGCAAGAGGGCTCATTTGGCAAGTGCATCAATCCATGACATCATTCCAACAGTGTCTCCAGGCCTGGTTAAAGCATCTGCAGCACTTGACTGCACTCCCTGCAGTTGTTGGCAGCTGTGAAATTTCATTGATTGTGACCAACAGGAAATTCTGAAGGAAAAAAAAGCTTAGTACAAAGCTCAGGAAAGGCCTTGGCTAATGGTAATACATGGTATAGTGTAGGTCCCAGTGCAGAAGAGTGCTTTTCAAAGTAATTATCTGTAAAATGAGGAAAAGTAAATTAATGGTGGTGCAGAACCAACCACATTTATTTTTAAGAGACCATTAGAGAGCCTTGATAGCATTTCAGCAGTTGTGTGGGAAGCTGTGTGCTGGTGGGGTGGGAGGGTTGGTTCCTAATGAAAATCTTGCCTGGTGTGCACAATGCAGAAGGGACAAAAGGTTATTTAAAAAAATTCTTATCAGAAGTACTTTGACATTAGTCCTCAAGTAATTATTTTTATCCTTCAATAGGTGCATCTGCATGCTATTGTGCTAACACTGCTGCCTCTCTTATTAATTATACTCTTATAAGCTTGCTTCACAGGAGTAATCTAGCAGCCTGTACAAATTAATGCAGTTCAAATCAAACATAGTAAGTATAAAACAAGCTCAGCTGAAAAAAAAAAAAAAGGAAAAAGGGAAAAAAAGGAGGGGGAAAGGCAAAACCTAACACTTAGGCAATTTGATGCCAAAACAAACATTCAGGCTGTAGCTGTGGAGTACATACAAAAAAGGTATCTTTCACTTTACAGGCATTTAGAGGTTATTGAGTGTTTTGAAATGTAATGATACCTTGTTACGAAAAATACTCTTACCTGTTTTCTTACCTTTCAACTAAAGTTAGTTAGTCATTGGTCTTGCCATTGGCTTGAGTGGTCCTAATTAAAGTTAAGTGCATTTGCAATTCTTTCCAACAACCGATTCTAAACCCGAGCCTTTTACAGTTTTTTGTAATTGAACCCTGAGTTTGGTGGAGAAATATGTCTTGGTTCATGTTATCAGCTTCTGCTAAAAGGTTTACAAAACAAGAGTTAACAGGAGACTGATACCTTTCATGTCCTTCTTTCACAAATGATGTTTGGAGAGTTCTGCAATCAAAATATTGTGCCAGATATTTCCTGGAATAATCAAACAAAGCCCCGGAAGACCTTGAATCTTGCACAACCTCCTTTTCAGTTGGTAAAATTTTCAGCGTACAAGGGTTTTTTCAGTATGTAGAATGTTTTTATTACTTTATTTCTGATTCCAGTATTATATATATATATATATTTTAATCAGTTGTTTCAGTGGGAGAATCAAAGATATCAGAATCATGGCTTCCATCTGATAGAAAAGCTGGCATGGTTTTGAGTTATAGGTGTTTTATACATCCGTTTTTTAAATCCCACTTTAGTTGCTTGGTATGCAGGGCATCGATGAAGCTCTTTTGCAGAGCCACAGACTGTGAAATCAGAGTCTTCCCTGCTTCTTTGCTAAGTTTCACTTGTCAGTAATAAAGTAAGTTTACCACTGTAAATTACCTTTCTTCAGGAATAGTTTCTTGTGAACCACACAAAAATGAGTAAACGCCGACCACAGGTTTATGATAGGCTTTATAAAACACCATCTTTTGGATCCAAACTGGACCTTCCACTGGATCCCTGCTTTTCCCAGTGGCAGTGTCTGATGTCCCAGTGCTGATGGCTTCCTTCAGCCCCACTCCCAGGGAAGTGCTGCTGCCTTGCCAATGCTGACATGGTGGGAAATGCACAGCATCCCCAAGGCAATTGTGGTAGATTCCAGTAAATACTTCTACTGAAAGGTCAGTGGTGTGGGATTGTATGGATTGAAGCAATTAGTGTGGAGATGTAGCTGTTCAGCTAAAACCCAGTTCTTTTCCCCTGCTCCAACTGCATTGTCTTAAGGTTAGCAGTGTGTTATTCCTTACCTTATGGATACTGGCTTCGCTGGATAAGTGACTATATGAAAGCTCATTTAAAGAAATGAGAATTGTTGTTTGTGCAGCACAGGAAATTAATTAGTAATTATTTTAATAGCTGACTATTAGGTTTTGTTCAGCTTGCACCATTGTGGATTTTGTATTTGGAATGATCTCCAAATTTACTTTGTAAATGTATAAAAGATACTAAAACTGGTCTTCAGTCTAATTCTTCTGAGGTGATTTTATTTGCTTTAATTATTGGCTAATGAGCAGCTGAGGTTTATGGTGTTAAAGGAGGGGGGAAGTCTGAAGTAGGAAATACTACCTATTGAATTCAATGAGAAACATGCACTGTGTGATTTTGGCTACTTCCTAGCACTGAGACATCACTAATAACCTTGAATGCAAATTTGCTGATTAAAAATATGAGCTGGGCTTTTTCTTCTAAAAGTGTTTTGGCATAGGAGAACAAGGAACAGACTGTGGAAGTAAAGGTTGCTCTTGGTTTTGCTTGTACAACAATTCTATGGAGATATTTAGAAATTGTTGGATTTGTGACTTTTTTGAAGAAAATCCCTTAGAAAAACTGCTGTGCTTACTGTTTGGTTTCAGTGAACATGTGGTATACATAGTGGGGACACTCATCCTTTGGGATGTTTGCTTCTCTTCCCTTCTCTCCTCACTCCATTTTGCTAATTTTTCTGTCTCTCTGCTGTGATGACCTTCCTTGTTTTTTGTTTTAGTGAAGTACCTCTGGATGTGGATTTCTCTCATACTTGAAGCTGAAGGAGCAACTTATGCTCAGTACTTCACAATATAAATATATGATTATTAAGCCAGTTGAGTTTTCATTTGAAAAGTTAGGATAGAAGTGTGGGATTTTTTGGATGCATCTTTTAGTAATGATTTCAATGCCCCCCGTGATTTGTTTTGCTTCAAGGGTTGCACCAGTGTCTCAAAACTCTGAGTAGCAATGTTTTTCCAGGCAGAGTTGCAGGTTGAGTACTTTTAAGTGGAGATGTGAACTCCATTGAAAATCATTTGTGGGTGGATTTGTAGTTGGGCTTGATAATGGAATTCAGGTTGTCAGCCAGAAAACAAAGCTGGAATGGAGTCAGGAGTCTCCAGAAGAGGGATTATGTGTCTGGAAGTGGGACCAGAATTGTGGTCATCATGCAATGGGAAGTGTATCGTGGGAGGGAAAAAAAGGTCTGGGAGTTAACTCAATATCAAAAAACACTCAAACACAACTGTAAAACTAATAAATATGCAATAGGGCTGTAACTATTAACCAAGAAATAACTCTTAATAAAGTTAAAGAGAAAATAATTTGTACTGGAAGTGTCCTTTATTGAGGTTTCCTTCTGCATTCATTAAAAATGCCAAATGAACAATTGCTTGGGAAGCCACACTGATTTTCAACATGTTTGTCCTTTGGAGTAAAAGTTGAGGTAGTGCTGATTTATCTGTCTGGTCATCCAAGGAGATTTTGAGGGGGAATAGAGGACTCAATTTTTGTATTATTTGTGTTATTCCAGTAAAAAAAGTAATCCTTCGTGTAGGAAAACCTGAAATTACCTGTTGTTGGGTTTTTTTGTGTTGTTTTGGTTTGGGGTTTTTTGTTGTTGTTGGGGTTTTTTTGGTTTGGTTTGGTTTTGGGGGGTTTTGTTGGTTTTTTGTTTGTTTGTTTTTGCTTGTTTGTTTGTTTTTGTTGGTTTGTTTTTTGCTGCTTAGCAGTACCTTTTCAATATGTCTGCATAGAAATTCCAACTAGAATTTGCACTGATGTTTATTTTGGGTACCAGATTGTTTCCAAGGTGTCTTTATGAAGTCTGGATCCTGTGGATCCTGTTCTCTGCCCCATGGAAGAGTTTCTGCTCAGGTGTGCTGCTGGCTCTGGGGAGATGTCCACAGGCAAGGAGAGCAGGAGGACAGTGATGACATTACTGTGTGGATTGGAGGACAGCCTTTTTCTATAAATACATGTTATTTTTCCTGTTAAATGACTGATGCTGTCAGTGGTTTTCAGATGAGCTATTTTTAAGACATCGTGTTATCCACTAAGGATGTCATTATGTGTTGCAAGAGTTTTAATATAAACTGTTTACATATTGATCTTGTTGTAAATTAAGCTGTTTCTTCTTTATCTTCAACAGGCAGCCAGATAAACTAGTGGTGGTTTGGACAAGAAGAAGCAGAAGAAAATCCTCTAAGGTTAGTTGATTGCTTAATAAGTCCCAACTTCAGTGAGAAGCAGGGTCAGCTCTTTGAGGGACTGTTTTTTTTTAATGTGGGGAGCAGCCATATAAATGAGAAATATTTTAATTGTTGCCTTTTCTTTTTAACTCAGTTTATCCATAAAGCTCAGAATAAGCTGCTGTTGATATCAGTGCTAATTTATGGGAACTCAACTCCAATTTCAGCTTTGGTTTGTTGTTTAGCAGAACTGTATCATCATCAGTTCAATTTCAGTTATTAATTGCTAGACCTAATTAGAAAGGACTATCTGTTTCACTACTACAAGTGTATTAAAAATAATTAAAAAAAAAGTAACAAAGAATCTGACATCCCTGCAATAGGCAGATAAAGTCTGAATAAGATGCTACTTCATAATTCGAAATGCTACAAATAAAAAATAATAATTGCAGGCTCTTTCAGCCCAGCAGTGTATCTCTGCATTAAATTTTTACATTTTACATCTATTAACACTGTGAGAACACCTGTGAATTTGTGGTTTATGACTAAGAACTTGTCAGCCTGAGGAATGGGAAGTCTATCCAGTGTCTGGACATGCATAAGTTTATCTTGCATGGGGGGCAAGAGTGCACACTGGTTTCCTCCCTTCCCAGGAGTATCTCCACCTTCAGATGACTCAGTCTTACTCATTCCCTTTCCCCACACTGTTGCCTCGTATCTTGATTGGGCTTATGGCAGGTTGTCTTGTCAGAGGGGAAATTTTGGAACTTCTAATAATTCTTAATCACTTCATTTAAAAAGGAGATGGTCTAAGCTTCTTTTTTGGGGGGTTATGCATGTGACACAAAATGATACTTCCAAGAACTCTGTGATGGCGGAGAGAGGGCACCCACGATATAGAAGATATCTTGAAATAATTATTTGTTGAAGAACTAAAGTATTTAGAAAATGTGGTATAGAGTTTTCTACCCTGCTCAGGAGAGACTTTGAGGTTCTTTTTTTAGTGGTACTCCTCTTTTTCTGACTTCTCTTTCTGATTGTCATACGTATTTGTTGCATTTTGTCTTTTAACTCGAGGTATAAGTTATTCTAAGCTGCTTTAGATAAAGACTAGTTACTGACTGAAAGTGACTGCACAGCCTAAATGCCTGCTCCAGTGTGTGCTTCCAAAATTCTGCTTTAGGTTATGAAAACCCAAAGGTGTTACCTGGTAAGTAAACAAGGCTGTGAACTTAGTCTGGCACCTTTTCCAGGGTAACTGTTCCTGTTCCATGTTCTGTACTCTTCAAGAAAGCCAGTCAGACTGTTCCTCTTTCACTGAAGGATATACTAGTTCAAGTTCCCTTGAATTTCTGGTGTGGTGTGTATCTAGGCAGTAACTGCTGATGTGTGGTGTCTGATGTGGCTCACCCTGTGATAACTTTTCTCTTTTAGTTTCATTTCTGTAGAAGAGAGAGAAAAGGTATATTAAGCAGTTAAATGCAATGCTTACCCAAGCATTGTAACCCTGAAAAGCTTGGTGAAAAACAAGGTATTTGTCCATGAATGACTGCTTTGTTGGGGTTCAGAATATGTTCAGAAGCAGAAGCCCTAACAAAAGTCCATCAGGGCTTTGTGAAATGATGGGGGTTTGCCTGTTGTTTTATAGGATCCAATGGCAGCATTTCCCTGAGGTGAGAGGATTTTCTGACTTTAGCTCAGCTTTTTGGGCTTGAAGTTTTTTCAGCTGGGCCGTGAAATTCCAGGGCATGTCCTCTCTTTTGGTCACCAGGCAGTAGAAGCAACTCTTGAATAAACTGGCAGATTTGTCTGAGACTCATAAAAGTCTTTGGCTAACTAATTAATTCATGTTTAGTAAGACCCCCCCCTTTGAAAAAGGCTGAGTGGCCCTGAAACCTTGGCAGAGATAGTTAATTCTAAGCTTAGGTAGTTGATGTGATTTGAGCTGTTTGGGTCAAAAACTGTAAATCAATAAATGTTCTTGATCTCTTAGTCATCCTGCCAGTAAAATACTTTATTCAACATAGTTGTTCCATCTAATTGCTTTATTGGAAGCAAGTCAAGTGAATATTTCCTCTTATTTTATTTTTGATGGACACTGGGTTCAGTGAGTACAAAACATTAATAATTGTCTATGTTTTTCAGCTTCTTTGAGAAGGAGGAAGAGAGGGATGAGGTCTTAACTTACTGAGAATATGTTGTAAAGGCTTCTTTGGAGGTTATGATTTCTGAACTTTTCGGATCATTAAGGATTATAAGGGATAACCCTAACAGATAGTTCACAAACTCGCAGAATGGTTGAGGTTGGAAGAGGCTGCTGGAGGACATGTGGTCCAACACCTCTGCTTAGTAGTGTCAGCCAGAGTGAGTTGCTCAGGACTGTGTCTGGACAGCTTTTGAGTATCTCCAAGGTGGGAGTATCTCCAAGGTGGGAGACTCCACAGCCTCTCAGGGCAACCTGTGCTGGTGCTTGGTCACCCTCATGGTGGAAAAAATGTTCCTTGATGTTCAGAGGGAACATCCTGTTTCACTTTTTGCCCATTGCCTCTTGTCAATGGTGCTACTGGGCACCACTGAGAAAATCCTAAATCAGTTATCTGTGCACCTTCCCTTCAGGTATTTATACATATTGATAAGGTCCCCCTTCTCCCGAGCTTTCTCTTATCCAGACCAGTCCCAGCTCTCTGTTTTTCCTCCTGAGGGATCATCAGTCCTTTAAACATTTTCATGGCCCGTTGGGTGCTTTTCAGTAGCTCTGTGTCTCTTTTGTACTGGGAAAGTACAAGAGATGTATTAACTGAGAATGGGGTGTGGCTTGGAAAATGGTGCTATGGACACATGCTGGGACTGGCCTGCTCTAACTGATATAATAAGATACCACTGAGCTGAAAGCTGAGTTTGTGATGTCCTTTGAAGCCCTTATTTTTGTAGGTTTCTATGATTTTTGATATGCCTCTTGGCCCACATACTTTCTTTCCAGGTAAGCTACAGTGGTCCCTTTATTAGAATAAATAATAGGAGACATCATGTGCAGGAGTCTGAATATTTTACTTGTTACTGTGGGAAACAGAATAGGAGCTGTACATGTGTTAAATTACAGTGAGTTTCAAAGTGTTGCAAACGAAAAGTGAACAATCATTTAGAAAGAGCATTGAAATAGCAGAATGATGGATGGATGGATCCAGGACCATAAATATATCCAGCACTTACTGACCTTAATGCAGATTTAAGTTACTTACAGTTCTATTTTGGGATCCACTCTCTGTAGGCAAGTCTGATTTCAAATTTCATGAGGTAATTTCAAGACAACATGGCTCTGTGTGGTTGGGCATATTCATTGTATGTGCCAGGAGCTGACAAAAATGGTGATTTGCAGTTTTGCTATACTTGGCAGAATTTCTGTGCAATCCTAAAACCAAAATGAACTTTCAGCTTGGGGAGGGAGGGAGTTCACCTGTCTACTGGTGCAAAATGTAGTCTGTTCTCAAAATCAGGTAGACTCTTCAAACTTTATTTAGCCTGTATGTTGGCCACCAGGTTTTCAGACCCTGGGCTTTTGGACTTGCTTTTGTTTGGTTTGTTTTGGGGTTTTTTGGTTCTTTGTTTGGTTTTTTTTTTCTTTGTGTTTTTTCGTTTTGGGTTTTTTTTTTAGTGATAGAAGAATGACTTTGTTCTATTGTAGAGCAAGGGAAAAACGTGTTGTAAATATGTTTACCTTCACTTCACTGAGATGCTCTCGAATTTCCAGGCTTTGAACTAAGAAATTTCAGTTTGAAAATAGATGTTGCCATGATGTCAAGGAGGTACTTTCTACTATTCCTGTGAACGTACACAGGCTTATAGTTGAATTATGCACCTCTGAAGAATCAAATTTGCACTTGCTTCTGAGAGCCTGACAGAATTATTCTTCAAAGATTCTTTTTGTATCAAAGTGAAAAAAGGTGTTTTGCCTGTTATTTCAACAACTCTGCTGCAGGTTTATCAAAAATTGCTTAAGGAGAAGGAACAACTCTGGGTAGAGGGAAAGAACTTGAACAGTAAGAATTAAGAGCCAAGAGAAGCAGAGGGGCAGGGTGTAGAAAGGTTCCCTTGTTGGACACAAAAGTAGCCTGCCCAGCCTCTTTTCAAGGCTATACCATCAATAAAGCAGCACTTGGGTCACCTGTTTTGCTGTCCTTGGCAATCTCTCTGGCTGCTTCATTGCCTGGTGCCAACCCTGCCTGTCACTGTCAGGTTCTTCACTGGCTGGAGTCCCAAAGGCATGTTGTGACTCTGACATGCTGGTGACTGTCCAGGACCAGCACAGTTCCATAATGCCACTCCTGTGGCTTCTCAGTTTTTTAGTAAAGTAATAAAATTGTGTTTTGTTGCAAGTGTAAGTGGTCAGAATCAGGATGAGTCATTCTAATGGTTGGTGGATGCATTTTAGGCATATGATACAGTCTTTAGTAGGGCAATGGCAAATGGTTTTCCTACCACATTGCTGCCTTGTTGAGCAGACAGTGATTAGGGAGAACATAAGGACTGAGTGGTGAGCAAAACTGCTTTGTCCATAAAGAAGTTGGAGGGTGTTACAGAAGGTGTAGGACATGAACAGAGAAGACTGCCTCACTGTTCTGTGGCTAAATGCTGCCTCAGGGAGTTCAGTTTTGTCCCATCCTCATGTACAAAGCTCCTGGCTGAGGCTAGGTAGAGTATTAAAACTAGATTTGATGTATCTCTCCATTTTTTTGTGTGCCAGACATAGGGACTGACAAAAAAAGTCTGCTTTGCAAGACAAAACAAAGGTTGTTTCATGCTTAATCCCTCTAAAGTGAGGGTGTTGCTGATTTAAGCAGACCTTGCTAAATTAATGGAAACTGGTTATTCTTTCCCTGCTTGTAAATTTGGGGTCGTAATACCCTTCTTTTTTCCAGGGATCTCATAAAGTTGACTTGCGGTGACATTCTGAGGTGCAGTGATGGCAGTTCCCAGAAAACGATGAGAGAAATAACTTTGCATTCACAGTTATATGTTTG